AAACTTCATCTCTCATACTTTGGACATATTGTCAGGAGGGACCAGTCACTGGAGAAGGATATCATGTTTGGTAAGGTGGAGGGTCAGAGTAAAAAAAAGGAAGACCCCAACAAGATGGATTGGCCAAGAGGCAGCATCAATGGACTCAAGCGTGGCAACAGTAGTGAGCTTGGCACAGGATCGGGCAGTGTTTCGTTCTGCTGTATATAAGGTCGCTATGGGTGAGTACCGACTCGATAGCACCTAACAACAACAATATATTCCTCCAACTCTAAAACTTTGTCTAGCCAAACCATCAAAACGCATTGCCATAGATTCATTGTTGTTGTTTGCTTAGTGCTGTCCCGTTGGTTCCGAGGGATAGCTATCTTGTATAGGGTTTACTAGGAACAGCTCGTGAGCTTGAACCGCCGGCTTTGCAGTCAAACCAACTTTGCAATCCAGCGCTTTAATACACAGTGCCACACCAGGACTTCGCCATAGAGTCATAGTGACCCTGAAGGACAAAGTACAACTGTCCCATAGGGTTTCCAGGCTGTAATTTTCCCTAAAGCAGACAGTCACATATTCCTCTTGGGAGTGGCTGGTGCATTGGAACTGTTGACTTTTTGGTTATCATCTGAGCGTTTAAGCATTGTACCACCAGGGCTCTTAAGTCTACTTATGTGTCCTAAGTCAATCAGAAATTAGAGATCACACAACTCCATATATACAGTGGGATTACATTTTCGACTATTCTATGAATTTAAAACTGCCAATTCGCTGCATAGTTAATCCATTCGCCGACCACTAAATTCAGTTTTAACTTGCCTGTAAAGATGCTGTACTAGAGAAGTTTATAATTAAATTCACTGTGTGTGGGATGGAGTGGGTAAGGAAACGACCATTAATTACAGAGTTTCGTTTATGAGAGCCTGCCAGGTTTTTAAGTAGCAGGAACACAAGAAGTGGATAACGCTTTTCTCGTTTATTAACAAAACTCGCACGGAGTTCCAGGACAACTAGGAGATGTGATCGGGAGGGGCCTCAGCGCTCCAGTGCACACTAGTGAGTTGGAACGCTTGCCCATTCCATGTCACGCCATCACCCACCATTCGGGCTCAGTCAGAGGCCGTGCTCTGGGAGGACTTCCACTGACCAGGAATCCGCGAGTCCTGGGCCACCGCACAGGCGCCCTGGGGTCGGAACAGGCGGCTGCAACCCGCACGGAAGTGCTCTAGGCTCGCCCAAGTCGGAGGCCAATTCTCCTCCTCCACTTCCTCCTTCTCTCCGCAGCTCAGCCTCCCGGGACGGCTCCTCCCCTCCGCAGTCTCCTCCCCCAGCCCGCCGCAGTTCCCCCGCGGTAAAGTGAGAAGCTAACCCCGTCAGTCCGCAATCGGAGACGCGGCGCTGACCTACTGAGCCCGAGGGAGGCGAGGACCGCCGCCTTGCCACCCTCTCCCCGCGCTCACCGCACCCCGCTTCCCGGTCCGCCTCCCTGAAGTTCAACCCTCCTGCCTGCCCTTAGCGTTGTTCTACCTCGCTGGCAAGCGAGCGGCCCACAAGTTTCGGCGCGCACAGGAGGCGGGCCGCGGGCACCGTGCGCCCGGGGAGGGGTGGCCGCGGCTCGGTGCTCCGCGCTCCGTGCGCATTTCGGCTATGGCTTCTCAGCGGCGGAGGCGGCTGCGTCTCTGCCCTCGGTGTCTTCTACTCCTCCCTGGACTTCTACTGCCTCTTTGCTGTGCCTTCAACCTAGACGTGGACAGTCCTGCTGAGTACTCTGGCCCCGAAGGAAGTTACTTTGGCTTCGCGGTTGATTTTTTCGTCCCCAGCGCGTCTTCGTAAGTAGCTGCACTTGGAAAGGGAGTCGTTCCTCTCTCTCACGACGTGCACCCACCCCTGAGCTTCCCCTGGAGACATCACTGGGGAAGGGGGGTTGGATGGGGTGGGTATCCCGGCGTTTATGTCCGGAGTGGATGAAACGTGGGAAGATGAACACCCTTGGCATCAACAGCTTGGTTCCCCACCTTCTCCCCTTTAAAAATGTGTTAGGGATAGAGGGAGAGCTTTGTAACAGTCATGTGCTTAAGATTCAAAATTCGAGAATTGTGATAAGCCAACAAAAGCTGGTTCTGCCCCATTCTACGCCGCTTCTGCACGTACCAGGGTCTTTGTCAATTTCATCTCTAACTTCTCTTTCTCCTGTACTCCTTAGCCTTCCCTGTGGTCTTTTACTGCTTGACACGCTCAACACTCGCCCTTTTCACTCTCCCCAAACAAACCCTCCCCCACTCTCTTGTTGGTTTCATTCTGTTTCTACTCACTCACTTCTTTTCCAGACATTGGAATAACTAAAATGACTATATTGTCGTATTAAAATACATTGTGTCTTATCTCTGGAACTGCCAGACCTTTGTACAGTTAATGTTGAATAGACAAATTGAATGTGTCATTTGTTCTTTTTATTCTGATTCACTATTTAGGTCATTGTTTAGAAAGAACAAGCGTATTTGCTGAGTTTTCACTCACTGTAGATTATTTGAATGCATCTGAATTTAAGAATTCAGTTGTTTTCTAATTGTCAGCGTTCTGTGTTACAAGGACCCTCAGAATTTCTAACAGTTATTGTCATTAGTGGATTGAAAGTTGTCCCCGGCTTTACCAAACACTGACCTCATTCTTTCCACCCCACCCCGTTATTGTTGTTGTTAAGCGCTGTTGACTGGATTACGACTCATAACGACTATACACTGTATAGGGTTTCTGAGGAGCAGCTGGTGGGTTTGAACCCCTGGGAGATTAGCAGTCCAGTGCTTATCCTACAGCGCCACACTAGGACTCTATATAGTTAGAAATACTGATTTAATGAGTATTTAAATACAAGCATATCTTCTGATGCTTGCATTCTGATATTTAAATCTTGTTTTCTTGAACTATTCTTAGTTTTTACCCTAAGCTTTTAGAAAAATTACAACATGTTTTTGTTTCTATTTTTTCTGTGTAAGAGTTTTTTAAAAAATATTTTTTGAAGGTAATTTTGATGTTCGTATCAGGGTAGGCCCATTTTCCAAAGCATACATTCCTAATTTGAGGTGACTTAAATATTTTTCCATGGCTGATACAAATGGTGGGTCCTGGTGCAACTCACCAGCTGCACCTTGGAAACCCTCTACAGGGTTGCTGTGAGTCCGAACTGATTCGATGGTCACTTAACAGCAACAGCAACAACTCATCAGGATGGAGTCCTGCTTATGTAGTGCTGTAGGATCAGCACTGGACTGCTAACAGCAAAACCAGCTGTTTGGAAACTCTGTACAGGATCACTATGAGGGGGAACCAACTCACAGAACTTAACAATAAACAAATAACAATAGAGCAACTCAGAAGGACCCTGGTGACTTAATAGTTTTTGAGTTCAGCTGCTAACCGCAAGGTCAGCAGTTTGAATCTGCCAACAGCTTCTCAGAAGAAAGGAGGCTTTCTGCTCCTGTGATGATTTACAGCCTTGGAAACCCTGTGCAGAGCTGCTATGAGTTGGAACCGACTCCACAGCACATAACCACCACAGAGGGTCTCCATGAGTCAGAGTCAACTCAATGGCAGTGGGTAATGGAGCAATTCAGAAGCATTTAGTCTTATAACTTTTTCTGAATGTAGCTAAGTGTCATTCATTTTGGTGACAGACTATACAGCAATAGGTAGATTTGATGTCACATTGCTTTATGTAGGAAACTCAGTTTTGTTTTCTGTTACAGCTTCAGATTCTTCCTTTGTGACCAGAGCACAGATTTTCCAAAATGATAACATGATCATTAGCTTTAGGCAACATTTACTACCCTCTCGTTCGACTCCACAGCACATAACAACAACATTTGATGTAATCGTCTTAGTCATCCTTGTCCTTTACTTAAAAAATCATTTTAAGTTTAATTGCCTTATTAGAATTAACTTATACACAAATTGTAATAATTTTGAAAATATTTATATCTTACATCAAGTATTAAATTACTTAAAGTACTTAAATTAGTAAAAGTTGATACTTAAATACTTCTTCAAAGTTGATGGAGTGATTTTGCAAATGGTACTGTTAATTCTCTACTACCCTCTGAGTTAAGTGTCAGAATACATGATGAGTTAATATAGTTTATGCATTGTTACCATGGGAAATATAGTAATAGTGAACAATTGACCTGTGCTATGTATCAAGTCAGTTCCCATTCATGTTGTTGTTGTTAGGTGCCATCCAGTCAGTATCGACTCATAGCGACCTTATTCAAAGCAGAACGAAACACTGCCTGATCCTGGGCCAACCTCACTACTGTTGCCATGCTTGAGTCCATTAATGCTGCCACCTGGTCAGTCCATCTTGTTGGGGGTCTTCCTCTTTTCTCTGACCTTACCAAACATGATATCCTTTTCCAGCTACTGGTCCCTGCTGACATTATGTCTGAAGTATGAGAGATGTAGTTTGGCCATCTTGTCCTCCAAGAATAGCACTCTGGCTGCACTTCTTCAAAAACAGATCTATTGGTTCTTTTGGCAGCCCATGGCACCTCAATATTCTCCTCTAACACCCCAACTCAGAGGCATCAATTCTTCTACGATCTTCCTTATTCACTGTCCAGCTTTCACATCCATATGAGGTTATTGAAAATACCAGGGCTTGGGTCAGATGCACCTTAGTCCTCAAGCTGACATCTCTGCTCTTCAACACTTTAAAAAGTGCCTGTGCAGCAGATTTGCCCAGTGCAATACGTTGTCTGATCTCTTGACTGCTGCTTCCGTGAGTGTTGATAGTTGATCCAAGAAGAATGAAGTCCTTGACAACTTCAATCTTTTCTCCATTGATGAGAATGTTGTTTATTGGTCCAGTGGTGAGGATTTTTGTTTTCTTTACATTGAGATGTAATCAATACCAAAGGCTGTGCTCTTTGATCTTCATCAGTAAATATTATAAGTCCTCTTCACTTTCAGCAAGCAAGATTGTATTGTTTAATGAGTCTTCCTCCAATCCTGATGCCACATTTTTCTTCATAGAATTAAGCTTCTTAAATTATTTGCTCAGCATACAGGTTGAATAAGTATGGTGACAGAATACAACCTTGTCGCACACCTTTCTTAATTTTAAACCATCCCGTGTTCCCCTGTTCTGTTCAAACAGTTGCCTCTTGGTCCAGGTACAGATTCCTCATGAGAACAATTAAGTGTTCCGGATTACTCATACTTCGCAATATTGTCATAGCTTGTCATGATCCACACAATCAAAAGCCTTTGCATAGTCAATAAAGCGCAGGTAAACATCTTTCTGATATTATCTGCTTTAAGCCAAGATCCATCGGATATCAGCAATGATATCCCTTGTTCCACGGCCTCTTCTGAACCTGCCTGAACCTCTGGAAGTTCTCTGTCAATGTATGCTTGCAGCCATTTCTGTATTACCTATAGCAAAACTTTACTCACATGGGATATCAAAGTGATTGTCCGATGATTTCCGCATTCTGTTGGGTCACCTCTCTTTGGAATGGGTACAAATACGGATCTCTTCCGATCAGTCGGCCAGATAGGTGTCTTCCAAATTTCTTGGCAGAGATGAGTGAGTGCCTCCTGTGCCTCCTCACTTTTTTGAAAGATTTCACTTTTTATTTCATCAATTCCTGGTGCCTTGTTCATTGCCAATTCATTCAATGCACCTTGGATTCCTCCTTCAGTATCAGTGGCTTTTTTTTTTTTTTTTTTGTGAATTATGTAATAGTTTACATGGGAGAACATTAGTTTTACATTCATGCTATCATATATCTTTTCATTGCCATGGTTACAATCCCCTCCTCATAGGCTCTTGATCATATGCTACCTCTTGAAATGGTTGAACATTAACCATTTCCTTTTGGTACAGTGACTATGTGTATTCCGTCCATCTTCTTTTGATGCTTTCTGCATCATTCAGTAATTAGCCCAGAGTATATTTCAATACCAAAAGTTGAGGCTTGAATTTATGTCAGTTCCCGTTCATAGCCACCCTTTATAGAGTCTCTGAGGCTGCAAGTCTTTGGTGGTGGTGGTAGCGTCCCAGTACAGGGTTACCGAGGCTGTAGATCTTTATAGGAGCAGAAAGCCTCATCTTTCTCCCACGGAATAGCTGGTAGTTTCGAACTTCTTTCCTTGCATTTTGCAGCCCGATTTTTAATCACTACACTACCAGAGCTCCTTTGTTGTTGTTGTTGTTAGGTGCCATCTAGTCGGCACTGACTCATAGTGACCCTGTGCACAGCAGACCAAAACACTGCCAGATCCTAGGCCAACCTCACTGCTCTTGCCACACTTGAGTCCATCGGTTCTGCCACTTGGCCAGTGCATCTTGTTGGGGGTCTTCCTCTTTTTCTCTGACCCTCCACTTTACCAAATATGATATCCTTATCCAGTGACTGGTCCCTTCTGACAGTATGTCCAAAGTATGATAGACGAAGTTTGGCCATCTTGGCCTCCAAGGAGAGCACTCTGGCTGCACTTCTTCCAAAACGAATCTGTTGGTTCTTTTGGCAGCTCATGGCACTTTCAATGTTCTCCTCCTAACACCATACACAAAAGGATCAATTCTTCTAAGGTCTTCCTTATTCACTGTCCAGGTTTCACATGCATATAAGGTTAATTGAAAATATCATGGTTTGGGTCAGGCGCACCGTAGTCCTCAAGCTGACATCTTTGCTCTTCAACACTTTGAAAAGGTCTTGTGCAGCAGATGTGCCTAATGCAATACATCGTTTGATTTCTTGACTGCTGCCTACATGAGTGTTGATAGATGATCCAAGAAGTATGAAGTTCTTGACAACTTCAATCTATTCTC